GAAAATCTATTTTGCCACACCCCTCACACGCTTCGTGGCACCATAGGGAGCTCCACCGATGGCCCCAGTGCCACCGCCCTCATGCGTCCCCAATGCCCTTTCGGCACACCCCTCACACGTTTCGTGGCCCCATAGGGAGCTCCACCGATGGCCCCAGTGCCACCGCCCTCATGCGTCCCCAATAACCCTTTCGGCACACCCCTCACACGTTTCGTGGCCCCATAGGGAGCTCCAGCAAAGGTCCCAGTGCTACCGCCCGCATGCGTCTCCCCACCCAGTACAGCGCTTCGTGGCTCCATAGGGAGACCCACCGAAGGTTCCAGGTCTACCGCCTGCATGCGTTCCCCCTGCCCAGCGGCCCCATAGGGAGCTCCACCGAAGGCCCGAGTGCTGCAGGCCGCATGTGTTCCCCCCCACCCAGTGCAGCGCTTCGTGGCCCCATAGCTCCACCGAAGGTCCCAGTGCTACCGCCCGCATGCGTTCCCTCCCCGCCCAGTGCAGCGCTTCGTGGCCCCATAGGGAGCTCCACCGAAGAAGATATTCACTATTGCGGTACCCTCAACTTCATATGGTTGGGTCCTTCGCCCGGATAATGTTGACTATTCTTTGATTGTTCGTCCAACGTCCGCCTATACGAGGACATGCCCGACCGAACACTGGCGGCTGCGCGCATGATGGATCGCGTGCGCGTCGCGGATTCGGCCGCGAAGATGCCCTTCTCCAAGGGCGGCGGCGGCGTGAGGGCGCGAAGAGAACCGCGCACCGCGGGATGCGCGAAGTTTGGTGACCTAGGACCGGCGCTGGCCTGGCGGGGTGGGCGGCCTTTTTTGGAGCTCTGCCCCCTGCCGCTGGGTCCATCTCCTCCTCCTCCTCCTCCTTCTCATTCTCTTCCTAGTGCTCCCAGTACCCCTCCTGCACTGCTCCTTCTCATCCTCCTCTTCCTGCGGGAGTCACCGCACAGGGTCCCTGGGCAATTCGCTTCTGTCGGGGGCCCTCTGTGGACACTCGAGGCCGTCGGATGTCCCAAATGAGGACCCAAGCTGGCCCAACGAGGGTCCTCAGACGGGCCCAAGGGGCCCAGAGCGGGGCCCAGAGCGGGCCCCTGACGGAACCTCACAGCAAAGGTGTCCATAAGTAGGTTCCGTTTTGGAGGCCTTTTTTCGGGCATTCCTGAGACTCACCCAAGGTCTCAAGGATGTTTCAATTAGGCCTGGAGATGCCCCCCAAGAGGGTCCCCCAATGGAACCTACCACGAAGGAGTCCTTCGGCATGTTCAGATGGAGCCCAAGCGTCACCCAAGGCACTTTTGTGGCCTGGCGCAAGGTTCGGAAAAGGCCCCAGTGATGCGCCAAGAGGGCTCCAGCCACGCCGCCCCGCGTGTGCTCTCTGCTATGTACCCATTCCCTAAGGTATCAAACCTCTGCCCTCCACTGTCCCGTGTGCTCTCGAGACCCTGGGCGCTTGGCCGCCACCGAAACCCCAAGAACCTGGCCGCCCAGGGGGATCGGCGCTGCATGAGAATCAGCTCACGTAGCTGATTTTCCCGGCGCCTCCCGGCGCCGGAGGCGGCGATGTATCGAGGATTGGGCCCCTTGGTGAGGTCGAAACCAGCTGCATGCAGCTAATTTCGCACCCCCCCTTTCCCAATCCCCCCCTTTCGCCCGGCCCGATAGTCCACTTCCTCGCCGCTGATACTGTTACAACGACTTGGCTCCAACAAGAGTTTCATTGGAAACTCGCAGCAAGAAGTATATGTGTGCACGCCCATCGGCGACATGAGTTGTCGCGCGCGCGCGCTCCGCGCTCGCGCGCGCGAGATCCCAAGACGCCCCCATGGCCGCAAATTGTTCCAAGAGGACCTGAGGCCACAGACGGCAACGTCCAGACGACCCTGGGATGACTCAACCCCAACACGATCCCGCCATGGATTCTGGACCGGCCCAGGCCGACTCGAGAAGACCGAACACATGAGCCACGAGTGCCGCCGAGGTGGCCCGATGGCAGCAAGATGGATCCACGCACGCCCAGGGTGGCCCCAGAATGAACACGACGGCTGCGCGATCCAAGCATGACCGAGATATGATCCCAAGATGATGTCAAGACGGCCCTGACATGCCACGAATGCTGCACCTTCAGAGCTCCATCTTACTTTCAAACGATCCCAGCATGCCGGGATCGTTCACCCTATTTTGAATGTGTCGGATTTTAGTCCAGCTGAGCTGACTTGATAATATCAAAGGGGAATAAGCTAGTCGGGATCCCGTTCGGCCCACGGCAGAAGACTACATTTCCAGGCTTCTACGGAGGGTAAGGGGGGAAGGGCAAGGCTTCATTTACTTCCGCTGTCTTCCGCAAACCTTCCAACGGCCTTCCGATGTCTTCCGCCTCGTTTGATTCCCGTCGATTTCCGCTAGCGAGCGACGCGACGAAAATTCAAGGAACTTTCATTGGGCCAACGAACTATTACGAGCACCACTACTTCTCCCATTACTCCGACTACTACAACTACCACTACTACGACTTCCTCTTCGGCGACTACTAAAAGTACTACTACCAGTATTACCACCACTACTATTATGATTATTACTACTCCTACTATTTCTACTAGTTCTACTTCAACTACAACTATTACTACTACTACCACTACTACTACTCTATTACTACCACTACTACTAATACTACTACTATTATTTTTCTATTACTACGACGACGGCGACCACTACTACTACTGGTAATACCAGTACCAGTACTTGTATCACTACTATTATTAATACTACTACGACGACTACGACTGCTCTTACTACTACTACTACTACTACTACTACTACTACTACTACTATTACTACTGCTGCTATTACTACTACTACTACTACTATTACTACTACTAATACTACTACTACTGTTATTCGTAGTACTACCACTACTGCTACTGATACTGGTACCGGTACAACGTCACTAGCAGCGCGACTACTATTAGGACGATGGTTACGACTACTCGAACTATTACTAGTACTACTACTACTACTACTACTACTACTACTACTACTTCTACTACTACTACAATTACTCGTACCTTTTCTACTACCAGTGCGACGACGACGACGACGACGACGACTACTACTACTACGACTCCTACTGCGACTACTACTGCTACTACTATCACTACTACTACTACTACTACTACTACTATTACTACTACTACTACTACTACTACTACTACTACTACTACTACTACTACTACTACTACCACTACTAGTACTACTACTACTAACGGCGTTGTTACTATTATCATTGCGACCAATATTTTTACTGTTGCTACTGCCGCTGTTACTACTTCTACCACCACTACTACTACTACTACTTCTACTACTACTAGTACTACTACTACAACTACTACTGTCATTACGGTTACGACTATTATTACAACAGCTACTACTACTACCACTACTACCACTACTACCACTATTACCGTTCTTATTACTACAACAACAACTACTACTACTACAACTACTACTCTTATTACTACTACTACTACTACTACTACTACTACTACGAATACTAGTCTTACGATCGCAACTACTACTACTGCCACCGCTACTACTTTTACTACTACTACTACTACTACTACTACTACTACTACTTTTACTTCTGCTACGACGGCTACTGCTACTCCTATTACTACTACTGCTACTACTACTTCTACTTCTACTATGACTACGGTCATTGCTACACTGTTACTACCACCGCTACGACTACTGCTACTAGTACTACGATTGCTATCACTACCTCTACTACTACCACTACTACCGCTACGACCACGACCACCACTACTAGTAGCACCGGAAAGTGTATGATTCTCACTGGTCAGAATACGAACCACATTTATGATAGTATCGTTCATGCTACGAATGCGAATGCGAGTTGTCATGCTGATACGGATGCCGATATGTCTGCGCGCAGTACTTCCTGTACTGACGCACGTGCGTATATTCACACTCATTCTGGTACAGAGTGTAGTACGTCCAATTGCCAAGTCAAGCGCGAATACTAACAGTAGAGTGCATATGCGCGCACGAAAACTAAGCGAACAGTGCTACTACCAGTGTTATTCGTATAAGTGCGACGATTACTGTCCATTCTCTGAATGATACGGGTGCGAATGCTAATGCGAGTGCGAGTGCTACAGGGGGCCACCGTCGCCCGGCCGATTTCATCTGGCAGTACACTGATTCGCTCCTTAGAGACATGACTTAGAACCCTTACAGACAAGCTGTTGTGGGGGATCGGATGGACTTGACAACTCTACGGGAAGCAGCTAGAAAGCCAGACAGGACATCCGACGGGAAACCAACTGGAAAACCACACGGGAGGCCATATGGGAAACCATGCGGGAGACCATTTGGGAGGCCATACGGGAGAACATACGGCAGAGCGTGCTGGAGAGCGCACGAGAGACCTCACAGGAAACCACACAGGGGACCATGGAGGAGACCTTACGGATAACACACCCCATGAATTCCGGACCCATCAGACCATACACTCGCTGCTCATATGCATCGAGTCCTTACAGACAAGCTGTGCAGGGAACTTCTGTCGGCGAGGAACCCGGTCGGGTGGAATATATACCGATCTGTTGTTCTTCCTCCGCGGCACGTTTGCGCCAGTGTTGGTGCGGCGGCGGCCCCCGCGCGGGCGTTCAAGACGGGAGCGCCTCCGTGGCCCAGAAAACTGGCCGAGGTCCGACGGCTTACGCCGTCGGAGAGCCGCGAGCGTTCAAGGTCGGACGGCCCGCGTGGTGTCATAAACCAGCGCCTGGGTCATCGCGGCGAGTCACGTTGTATGTGCAACGGAGCCACTTCTGGGCCCCAAACCGCCTTTGGTGGGCGGGAAGCGCCAGAAGAGCAAACATGGAATGAATGACATACGCGGAACAGCGAGCCCCTTCTGAACCCGAAGTTCTCCTTGTTTCGCCGTCCTTGCTCTGCGGCCTCGAAACTGAGGCCGCGTCGGCCGCTTTCGGGGACGCCGACGGCCTGGGTTCCTTGGGCATGCTCCGCGTGGCCGCGGCATCGCCGAGCGGCGCTGCGGACAGGCCTCGCAGCGAGGAGGAAGAGGGTCAGGAGAGCTGGGAGATGGGATAGGGCTCGGAGGGGGGGCAAGAAGAAGGAAGGAGGAGGAGAAGAGCAATGACAACAAGTAGGCGTGGGGGGGGGAGGAAGGGAGGGGCGGACGACGATTTCGGCGGATGAGAAGGAGGATTTGGACGATGTCGACGAGGACACAGAACAAGAGGAGGCAGAGAAGAGGAGCGGGGGATGACAGTGATTCTGATGATGATGATGATGATGATGAAGATGATGATGATGATGAAGATGATGATGATGATGATGATGATGATGATGATGATGATGATGATGATGATGATGATGATGATGATGATGATGAGCAGGAGGGGGAGGAGAAGGAGGAGGAGGAGGAGGAGGAGGACCAGTGCAAGCCCAAGATTCATCAACGATGTTGGAATACCCCCTCCCTCCAAGATACTTCTTTATCAGCCCTTAAAAGTGGTCGGTTCCACTTCGGGAATTGCCCGGTTTGGGGGCAACCGAGAGAACATCTCGAAGGGTGCCAAAACACCACTCTCAGGATTTCAACGCCGTGAGGTAACCTGACTGTTACGTCTTGCCGATCGTGAACCGTGCCAGGACACCATTCCTGGGACTTCAACACAGCGATTCAACGTAACTGTTGCTCCCTGACAATTCTGGTACGTTACCCTTGAGAATCAGAGACAGTCTGACACATGGTTGAAAACGAATGTGCGCGGCGCTGAGGCGAAAGCCACATTTTGTTAGAAATGGCCCGCCCTCAATCCGTGAACCTCTTGCACATTGTGAAGACGAATTTGCGCGACGCTAAGGCGAAAGCCACATGTTTAAAACGATCCGCCCTCAATCCGTGAAGCTCTTGCAGATGTTAAAGTCGAATGTGCGCGGCGTTGGGGCGAGAGCCACATGTTGGAAACGACCCGCCCTCCATCCGTGAAGGTCTTGCAACTTGCTTAAGAAAGACTGCACGCAACGCAAAGGCGATAACAACATTTTGAAATCGACCCGCCCTCAATCCGTGAAGGTCTTGTAAATGTTTAAAACCAATGTGCGCGGCGCTGAGGCGAAGGCCACACCCGCCCTCCATCTGTGAAGCTGTTGCCGATGTTTTTAGCATCAGGGTCCTAAGTGGTGAGGAAGTCTCGGCGAAACGCCTTTGCCAGCCTCGGGGTGCGACACGGAGGATCGGGGCTCAAGTGATGGGGGTCAATGCGAACGGGGGCCAGTCAGAGCGCCGGATCTTGCAGAATCCTGCAGGGCCATGGGCGCTTTGACCCGGGCTAGGCGCAGGATCTTGCAGGATCTTGCAGGGCCTCACTGACCTGACCCGGGTCTGGATTGACCCGGGTCAGAGGATCCCCGAGAAGAGTTATCTTTAAGGGAAAGTAATGGAGGAGGAGGGCCGGGGGCCGCGGACAGAGCGATCAAGAAGCCGGGGGGGGTTCCGGGAACGGCGGTCACGTGCGAGTTTCTCTCTCTCTCTCTCTTTCTCTCTCTCTCTCTCTCTTTGTTTCTGTCGTACTCCTCCTCCTCAGCTGAGCATTGCCCCTGCGTTCGTGTTCTGAGTGCGATGAGAATGGCAGGGGAGGGTGTAGAGAAGTAGGGTGGCTGCTCGAGATCCTGTTTGATTGGACACATTGGATCGTGGATCCCCCCGCGGCGGATCCATGCCATTTGCGTGCAGTTGCTTTGCGAGTAGTGCCGCGCGCTTCTCTGGCGTCTGGGGCGTGTCGAATCCCAGGGCAAGAGGACGCGCTCCAGCCTTGCGAATCCTCGAGAGGCCCGAGGTCCCTCGGTCCAAGCCGCCTGGCCCACTCCCCCCCCCCCTGGCCCCAGGCATCGAGGGTTCCCTCGTCGCCATCCCCTCCTCCTCCTCCTCCTCCTCCTCCTCGTCCTTCGCCTCCCCCCCTTCTTCTCCTCCTCCTCCTCATCCCGCCTCTCCCCCTCCTCCCTCTCCTCCTCCTCCTCCTCCTCCTCCTCCTCCTCCTCCTCCTCCTCCTCCTCCTCCTCCTCCTCTACCTCCTCTTCGCCGTCGTCGTCAGCCGACTCGGTCTGTGTTCTTCCGGCTGGCCGCCCAAGAGACCTCGCCGTCCCTCTCTTCGTGAGCCCCCTTCGATCTCTTGGGGCTCTACTGGGTGGATCTCGTGCCCTCTCGGGCTCATGTCGGGCCGTCTGGCCTCTCTTCGGGGGCCTTGCTGACCGGCGCCGTCTGGAGTTCTCTCAGGGCGCTCGTGGATCAGTTTTCCCCTCTTGCGGCTCTCAGGTCACGCAGCAGTCACTGAGGGTACTTTTGGGTAGTGTTAGAATTGATGCGCGCCCTTGGAGCGCGGATCCTTGTGACCCCTTTGGCAATGGAGGGATCGTGGCCTTGTCAGCTCGGCCTTGGAAGGAATTGTGGCCCTGGGAGCGCGGGTCCGGCGCAAATTCGGGCTCAGTCATTTTTGTTGTGCGGTACGCTGGCTGATTGGTCGCGCCCGTTAGCAGGTCGTTTTTTTTTCGGCCGCCGATCGGGCTATTCATTGCGCAACCAATAGCAGGCCGCTTTTTTTTCAACCGCCGAATGCGCAACCCATGCCCATGTAGCTGATCGCTGTATGTGTGTCAGTGTGTGAGTGTGTGTGTGTGTGTGTGTGTTCGCCCGCCGAGTGCACAACCCATGGCGCCACCAATAGCATGCCATTTTATGTTCAGCCGCCGAGTGTTCAACCCATCGCGCGACCCATGGCCCCTTGTTGCGGATTGCACAGCCCATGGCGCAGTTTTCAGCGCAAACCCATGGCGCAAAAGATGCCGCAACCCATGCGTGGCGCAACCGATGGCACTACCCATGGATGCCGCAACATTCCTAGCGCAACCCATGGAGCACCCCCCGGTAGTTTCTGCCGAGCTGCGCCCGATTCGCTGTCCCCGCTTGGGTTATGTCGGGCCTGTCCCCCTACAGGGGGATTTTCGACGAAACATAAGAGTTACCCCAAACATGCCCCAAAAAGGCCCAAAAAACACTCAAAAAATAGTCCCCCGACTACTTTTTGAAGAATTTTTGGGGTATTTTTCATTTTCGGGGTATTTAGTTTCGACGATTATTTTTGGACGAATCGTTTCGATCATTTTTGGGGTATTTTTCATTTTTCGTCGAAACTCCCCCTGCAGGGGGACAGGCCGGCCTTAATAACTGACGCTGGGGCCGACGTTGGGGGGCCCGAGCGGCGAGCTGCTCCGGGGCCGGCGCAGGACCGCGAGGCGGGGAGCGCAGAGCCGGGGCGATCCTCGGGGGGGCACCGTGGCTCCGGGAGCGCAGGTCGCCGGGAGGAGCTCGGCTCCCGGGGGGTCCTGCAGGAAGTGGAAAGAGGCTCAGGGAGGAGAAGGGGGAGGAGGAGGATGAGGAGGAGGAGGAGGAGGAGGAGGAGGAGGAGGAGGAGGAGGAGGATGGCCCTGGGAGCGCCGCTCCCGGGGGTCCCGGCCCTGGGGGGGCGCGGCACGAGGTGCCGGGACGGGGGCCGCTCTCCTGGGAGGGCTGGCCTCTGGTGGTGTCCTGGTGGCAGTGGCTCCGAGGCAGGGGCGCAGGATGGTGACCCTTGGAGCGCGAAGGCAGCGTGCAGTCAAAAGGCCCTAACACGTGCGGGCAATGGTTATATCCATAACTATCCCGTGCGTTTTGACTTTCTTGGAAGGGGCGCCGCAAGGCCGAGGCGCACTGGATGTGGATAACAAGTGAGCCTCTTGGAGGCAGGTTATCTTCCATATCCAGTGCGCCTCATGTTTCTTGGGAAGAGTGTCCGAAACTCCAAGACGCACTGGATGTGGATAAAGACATTGCCCGCAACAAGGACGCGCGATTTTGCTCAGGGTACCCTTGCTTCCTTGCTCTTGCTTGCTCTTGCGTCCTTGAGGAGTTCGTCCGCCGCCCCAGAAATCCCAACTTCGGCTTCCAAGGGTCTTGCGTCCTTACCGCGCGTCCTTATTACGGCTTTTGATTGTAATTTAAGGGATCGCGGCACGGGCAGCGCAGATTCCTTGTGATGTTGGCGGGTCCATGGGATGCAAGAGTGCCCCTGACCCCGGCCGCGGCCTCGTTTCTCCCTGAGACACTCCCGGAGGGTGGTCTCGGGACGCGCTTCGGGGCCAGAGGAAAGACATACAGAGGGGGGGCAACTACAATTGCCAAGCTCAGTCTTGCACAACACCGCACCAGCTCTGAAGCCAATGCAGCGCGACCGTTCGCAGCCTGGAAGCCTCCCAGGAGGGCCAGCTGATCTCGGCCTGCCAGGTAAACTTTTTGCCAGGCTGCTTCGTTCTGAAGATGCCCCCCACCCCCCCCGCGCATGGAGAGCCTCTGGAATCCGTGCAAGCCTCTTGCTGCACAGGCGGTACCGCATTGTCTTGCCCACCGGGATGCTCCTGGACGCTGCAGGCAACGCGGGGCCGCTCTGGGACCTGTCCTTCGAGGTCGTCGCCGGAGCCGTTCCGCCTGCTGGTCCACGGGGGGGGGCGCAGGGTGAGCAGCATGAAGGGCAGCACACGGGGGGCTGTCCTCTGCTGTGCCTCGTCGGGGGGCGGGGGGTCATGTGGGCACTCGATTTTCTCCTGCAGTCTCAGGCCGCTGAGCGTCGCATCGTGGCCTTCACGGGCAGGAGCGCCCGCGTGCAAGCAGAGTCAGGCAGGAGGGCGCTCGGAAAGCTGTCTCGTGGAGGCTTGCTCGCATGTGTCCACCTGCGACTTCTTCTTGGCGCGCTGAATGTCGCAGCATATCAGGGTGTCCCTTGTCGGGCACGGCTGTTGATTGGCTGGGAACGCCCCTGTGGTTTGCACCGTTGATGTGTCTTTGTCACTCAGTGGTTGCGCGGTGCTGCATTCTCGTGGCATGGAATCGTGCTGCACCTCGTTTTTTTTGGGGGGTGGGGCGGAGGGGCGCAGCCGCACTGTGGCAGGGCATCAGTATCCGTGCCAACTTCGGACGAGGCTCCGAACGCAGGTGTTGCAACACTGTGATGACGTCGGTCTTGGAGGCTCCCAGACGACCCACGAGGGAGACGCCCGTCGGACGGCTCAGGAGGGTCCTGAGCTCCAAGAGGCTTCCAAGAAGGCCCAGGAGGCCTCTCAAACGGGATGCCGCCGTCTACGTCGGCCCTCGCCATCTCGAAGCCTGGCGTCGCCACAACTGTGGCACGTGACGCTTCAAGGAGGTCCGTTGGAGGGGGGCGCCTGCGTTGCCCTCCTCCAACGGACCTCCTTGAAGTGGTGCAAGCTCGTTCGTGCAAGCTATGGCGTGTATGCGAAAGTTAGCCGGCGCAGGCCATGTGGCGCAAGCTGTGTGGTATAAGTAACGCGGTGCAGCCCATGTTGTATGTAAGGTATGCGTCGTATGCTATGGAGTGCAGCCGCTGTTGTGTAAGACGTGTGGCAAAGGCTGAGTGGGGCACTCCGTGTGGCCGCCCAGCGAACTGAGCGCCCACGAGGCGCCCATGGGCGGGATAAGGATGGCGAGCAAGCAGAAGCACAACCAACCAACACACAGACAACAACACACACGAGGCGCCCCTGGGCGGGCACGGGGCGACAGCTCGGCCGACCCGCCCCGCGCACGCGGCGCCAGCGCGGCGCCCCAGGGCGGGCGCCAGCGCGACGCCCGTGGCCGACCGAGCCCGCGCGCGCGGCGCCCGCCACGAGGGCGCCCTCGACGAGGCGCCGGGCGGACGCACGCCTCGCCCGACCCACGCCGGCGCACGGGGCGCCCGCGAGGCGCCCGCCTGGGCGGGCGCCGGGCGAAGCCTCGCCGGCCCCGCTCGGCGCACTCGCGGCGTTCCACGGAGGCGGGCGGCGGGCGGACCCGTGAGCCACGCCCCTCGATCGGGGGCCGAAGGTCACGGCCCCGGCGGGTGCACTGGCTGTGCTCGAGGTGCTCTGCCCTCGCCCAGTCGGGTAGGGCGAAAGGGGGGATATGGGGAAAGGGGGGGGTACGAAATCTGCTGCATGCAGCCGGTTTCGGCCCGACCGAGGGGCCCATTCCTCGCTACAGGGGCGCCTCCCGGCGCCGGGAGGCGCCGGGAAAATCAGCTACGTGAGCTGATCTCAAGCCCCCCCTTTGCTATCCCCTCCTTTCGCCCGACCCGACCCAGCCGCACACAGTCAAGACGCTGAAGTGAGGAACCGCTTGGGTTCGGCAGGGGCTCGAGGTTCCCCAGGTTCCTCCGCTGCTGTCCCTCGCGCCCTCCTCGGCCACGGAGGCGCTTTCGGGCCCCAACTTCGCTCCTTATTGAGCGTTCCGTCTTTCAGCGGCCCGGCTGTATGCCTAGCCAAGGGTTTTTGGCAAAGAGGGGAGGGCCCGGTCGAAGAGACAAGGGACCATAGTGAGGTCCCGGGCCCCGATGAGCCCTTGTACTGAGGGCCCCCTGGGATTTCCATGCCTCCTGGACGTTTTTGCCAAGTCTAGCAAGCGGGCCCAAAGCGGCCCCACGAGAGCACCACGCAGCCCGAGACACCCACCAAGCACCCACCAGACGCCTGAAGACGGCACAAAGAGCACCCCTAAGAGGCAATCGAATTTAACAACATATGTGTTTGTGTCCTTATTTTTTGTTGTCTATGGTAAAAAAACTCGGCCCTTCGGTCATCGAGGCGTCAGCGACTGCCTAGGAGGCCCCGAACATCGTCCCACAACGATCCCAAAAGGGTTTCCAGGCAGTACAAGAGAGCCCCTATGACAGCCCAACAGGGCCCCGAGATAGACCGAAGAGAGCCCTATGACGGCCAAAGATGGCCCCCATAGGCCCCCCTAAAGAATCCCCAATCTTGACCCAGTCGTTGCGGGGGACCGTGTTTCGCAGCAAATTGCCCCGATGAAGCCTCCAGAGGCTCCCAAATGGCGCCCGGGAGGCTTCCAGAGGGCTCCAAGAAGCCCCTGGCGGGCTTTCGTGAGGCCCCCAAGAGCCTTCCGTAGGAGAACCCTCCGCGACAAAACAATCTGGAGGACGGGGCAGTGGGTTATAGTGTCGGACGAGAACGAGGACTATGAGGAGGATGTGTCAGGGAAGAAGAAGGAAGAGAAGGAAGACAATGATTATAAAGACGATGGCGAAGCAGGCAACAAGGGGTTTTCGATACGTTTACTCTTGTACCTCTTGCTCATTCCGCCTGTATGCCAAACGCGTCGTACTTAGCAAGGTGTATGGAGCGAAGCTCCAGTGTAGCCTTGACGATGCATCAGTTTGCGCCCACCAGATATACAAGAGCCCCCGACCACAATTGTGGCAAGTGTATCAGTAAACCGTCGTATGCACCCACAACGCCCGGGTCACCAAACATTTGCGTATTTGTGGAGGCGACATGACCCTCGCGTCTTGCGTCGCCCCTGCAGTGCTTGCGACGATGGCTGCCGAGCTGGTTCAATCGGCCAGTCACGAATCGTTGGGCACGTCCCCACTCGGAAGCTTTGGGTTTGGGTGGTTCCGCGCACGCGGCCCTGCTTTGTGCACCAGACTGGGCCCTGTCGGCGATGAAGATGTGACGTCGAGGAATATTTGGGGCCATCTATCGGTTTCGCCAGATACATGCGTGCATTGGCTTTGTTTGGCGGGGTGGGCGCCGACACTCCGCTCCCCACCTCAGTTTTGCACGAGCTGCGACAGCCCAGCCAGCAACGTTGCAGCATGAGCCCGAATCAAAGTTGTCATCCTCCGCGTGCCGAAGCTTTGCCACCTTCTTGATCGACCAGGGCACAACTGATTACATCGGACAGCCGTTCATGCAATCTTTGGTGCGAGCCGATTCGGCATTGATTTGCCCAGCGTTGTTTCCTTCGCGCGCACAGGCACTGCGCCAGCTGCAGGGATGCGCGCTGGGTAAAAGACGGGCCCACAAAGGCCCCTCTAGAGGGCTCTGGAGGGTCTCGGGGGCTCAAGAGGAGACGCCATGAGGGCCGCAAGACATGGAGGCCCCAAAGGGCACCCATAGCAAAGTCTGTTCCAACGGCGGCCCACGATGCCCCAGCAGCAACCCGGAGAGCCTTCCACCGCCCGAGCACACCACAGCGGTGCTCCCTGCTCTCGTCTCGTCAGGTCCCGCCGGGCCCGGGCGGGTGCCCAGCGATGCTCCGGACCTCCCGTCGGCCGCCAGATCTGGCGCGAATCTCCCTACCCAGCGATTCCGTGCCAAGTTCGGGCCGGACGCAAGGGGGGGATCTTGGGAAAGGGGGGGTTACGAAATCTGCTGCACGCAGCTGGTTTTGGCCCCGCCGCCGGGCCCACTCCTCGACACATGGGCGCCTCCGGCGCCGGGGAGGCGCCGGGAAAATATCAGCTACGGGAAAATCAGCTATGCGTGAGCTGTTTCTGAAACCCCCCTTCTGCTCTCCTGCCCCTCTTCCCCGCGACCCGACTCCGTGGCCGCCTCCGCGGCCACTCGGCTCGAGCACCTGCCCGCCGCCGCGGCCCCTCGGCTCGAGCGCTCTCCCGCCCGGTTGGCTCCGGCGGCGCGCGCTGCCCTGGCGCGGCGGCGCTCTCCCCGGCCAGGCGCGGAGGCGGGAGAGGGCGCGCCGCCCGCGGCGCCGTGGCCGCGCGCGGGGCGATGGCCGCGCGGCCCCGCGGCCGGCTGCCGTCGCCGCTGCCGCTGGCGTGGGTCTCGGTGCCGTGGGCCCTCGGCATAGACTTAGGTCGGGCACGTCCCTCTGCAGGAAGAGTATACTCACAGATCGTCAAAGATTACTGTAGTCAGGGAGCGGTGTTTCTTCTTCTGGTTGTTGTGTTTCTGCTGCCATTTCTGATCTTTCGTCCAAAAGCCTCCTGTAGGAGGACACGCCCGACCTAAGCACAGACAACGGGCTGGGTGTCACCCCGCCGCAAGGCTGGCGCAGCTGGAACGCGTACACGTGCACCGACAGCTCGCCAACGAAGCAGCGCGGCGGGAACATTTTGACGGACGAGGCCATGCTGAGGGCCATGGACGCCGTTTTAGACAAGTCGCGCAAGGTGGACGGAACGCGGCGGAGCCTCAAGGAGCTCGGCTTCTCGTGGGTTTCCATGGACGATGGCTGGCAGCAGTGCAACTGCTCCACTCGCCAGGCAATCGACCCAGGCCTGCCAAATTGCTCAATCGGGGACTGCCGTTCAGGGCACTGCTCGTGGCACGACAAGATGGGCGAGCCATTGGTGAACTCGCACCGTTTCCCCAACGGCATGAAGAGTATCGTGGACCATGGCCATTCTCACGGCTTGAAGGTGGGAACTTATTTGAACAATTGCATCTGTATGGAAGAGGGCCACGCTCACTATGAGCAGGACGTGGAGTGGATGATGTCACTAGGCTTCGACGGCGTCAAGATTGACAATTGCGGTAGTTCGCACAACGTCAGCCGCTTCGCCGAGCTCTTCAACAAGACAGGCAAGCCGATCCGCATCGAGGATTGCCACACAAGCCCCAACCACCCGCACATCGAGCAGGATGGCTCCATCGACTGCCCTATGAACATGTACAGGAGCGGCGGCGACATCGCGCCGAATTTCGATTCTGTGATCGGCGAAATCTACAGCACCGTTCCCTATAGCGACCGCTCCATCCCACTGTCGCGACCAGGCTGCTGGGCCTATCCGGATATGATGCAGATCGGGAACTTCGAGGGGAAGGAGCCACTCAGGACGCACCAGGAGATGTCGCATTTTGGTCTTTGGTGTATTGTCTCGTCGCCCCTCGTTCTCGGCTTCGACATGGGCGACCAGGAGGCGATGGATCGCGTGTGGCCCACCATCACTAACCCTGACGCTCTTTTGGTGAATCAGGAGTGGGCGGGCCACCCAGGCACTCTCGTCAAAGCGTATCCAGCCTCTGACGATTCTGGCCTGCGCATGGTTGCCCGAGCGCCTTGCCCTGAGGGGTCCGCGCCCGAGGCAGCTGCGACCGTGCAGGGCTGGCGCTTCGATGGGCCGAGGCTGGTGAGCCCTGACGGCCTCTGCCTCCACGGCAAGCGCGGCGTCGACTGCCCACCTGCAACGACACGCACAGGCGACAGCCAGTGTGGCCTCGCCCTGGCCAACTGCTCCAGCGTGCCGGGCGCCTGGCGACTGGACGCCACGTCGGGCGCACTGGAGTGGCGACAGAAGCCAGATGGCGCAGCGGACGGCGCGGAGTGTCTGGCCTCGACCCCGGGCGTCGCCGCGCACGACCGGGACGTCAATGGCAGAGGTCCAGTGTCTGCGCAGGTGTCGCTCGGCAAGTGCCCTCCGCTGGGGCACTTCTCCAACAGCAGCGTCTTCCACTTGAGAGGCGGGCTGCTGCGTGTGGGCTCAGGGGGCGCCTGTCTTGCCAGCGCCCCGCAACCCGGGGTACAGCTCTGGGCCAAGCCGCTGCAGCGCGGGAGGGTCGCGGCCTTGCTTCTGAACCCGCTCACCATGGCGCAGTCTGCAGAGGTGCCCCTGGCAGACCTTCCAGGCACTCCTTGCCGGCCCAGCGCAGGTGCCTCTTGTCTTCTACGAGACGTCTGGGCGCGCCAGGACGCCCCGCTGACCGCAGACCGAGTCACGGTCCACCTGGCAGCTCACGAGAGTGCCTTCTACATCTTGTCGCGTGGAGGTGCGGCGCCGCAACCCTTTGTGGCAGTGGTGTGACGTGGCCGCCGGTGCGCGCACAGCGAGGCTGCGGGTTCGCACCGCGAGAGGGGCGGCTTCTGCGGGGGATGGGCGTGGGCGTGGCTGGCAGTCGAACGCCTCGGCCAAGACTGCGTTTGAAACGTTTGAAACAAAATATTGGGAAGCCCTCGAGCAATGTGCAACTGGTAGAGGGTCTTGGCTTAGAGTTTTCCGCAGGTTGCCACGCAGTTTTTGGCTGTTTGTCCCCCGTTTCGTCGGCGAGATGTTAGTAAGTAGCGTGATGTTTCGAACAATGCAAGGTTTATCCTCCCATCCGTAGTCATGTTGGCTCAAGCTTTGCCCGACATATATATATATATATATATATATTATATATATCTATATATATATATATATATATATATATATATATATGTATAAATATATATCGGAGTAGGCCGGGGGTGGGACCAAAACCGGTGCCATCATCCCCGATGGGCGCCCCCCCGAACCTTGTCACAGACCCCCCGGGATTGTCCCGGGCCGCTTCCAAATTGCCCACGACAGGCCACGCGGGCCGCACAGATGGTCAAGAAAGCTTCAAGTGGCCCCGAAGACGCCCAAGAGCGCCCCAAGAGGGCCCGAGATGGCTTGAAGATGGCCGACGAGGGCCCCAAGAGGGCCTTCAAGAGGCAAACATCGGCCCATTCCCATTGTAAAACGTACATTTTCAAAATACTCGCTGGCTTCGTCTTCACAGTGCCCCAGATGCCCCCGCGGAGCCCCGACACAGCCCACAAGAGACCCAAGAGGGCCTCAGACGGCCCAAAAGGGTCGTCCCGTGGGGCTCACGGAACCCCCCGAGACTGCCCAAGAAGCCCCGAAGTTGGCCCAGGAGGCCCCCAAGACGGCCTCAGGGGGGCCCAAGAGGGCCTCGTTCGCAATCATGTTCCCGAAAGCCTCTCCGGGAGCATGATTTCCGGGTTCCGAGGACGCCCAAGAGGCCCACAAGACAGCCTCAGCGAGGCCCAAGAGGGCCCGAGATGGCTTCAAGATGGCCGAAGAGGGCCCCGAGAGGGCCTTCAAGAGGGAAACACCTGCCCATTCCCATCGTAAGTCGTACATTTTCAGCATGCTCGTTTGCTTCGTCTTCACAGTGCCCCAGACGCCCCCGAGGAGCCCCAAGACAGCCCACAAGAGACCCAAGAGGGCCCAAGACGGCCCAAAAGGGTCGTCCCGTGGGGCTGACGGAACCCCCAAGACGGTCCAAGAGGCCCCGAAGCTGGCCCAGGAGGCCCCCAAGACGGCCTCAGGGAGGCCCAAGAGAGCCTCGTTCGAAATCATGTTCCCCGAAGCCTCTGCGGGAACATGATTTCCGGGTTCCCAGGACGCCCAAAGACAGCCCCCAGAGGCCCTGGACACGCCGAAGATGGCCTCAGGACGGCCGACGACGCCGTTCAAACGCCCCAAGAGCGCCTCCAGAGGCCCCTCCAAAGGGTCCGAGAAGCCGAAAATCATACATTTTTCCATGGTGTTTGAAGCATTCTTGGGCTCTCCCATGTTCCGCTTCCCCACGGTCCCCGACCGCGTCAGAGGCCCTTCAGATCGCTCCAAGACGGTCGAAGATGCTCCCAAGAACTCCTAGAGACGGCCCAGGAGGTTCCCCAGATAAGTCAAGAGGGCCTCGAGAGCGCCCCGAGAGAGCCCCAAGAGCGAGCCAAGAGGGCCCGAAGAGCGCGACATTTCGAGGTCCCCGGCCTGAGAGGCTCCTAGGACGCCCTCGGAGGCCATCCAGAGGCTCCCAAGAAGCCCTGTGAGGCTCCCAAGAGGCCCCAGCAGCCCCAATAGGCCCCCAAGGGACCCCCAAGGAAGCCCCCTGCGGGCCCCTAGGACACTTCGGTAAGTTGCATTTCCCAGATGGCTTTCCGGGAACATGATTCCTTGGGCTTCCGCCCACCGCCCCAACCATGTTTCCAATAGGTTTGCCGACAAGGCCAAAAGGCGCCCCTCGGTAAGCCCCCAGAGGTCTCCCTTTTAGAGAGCCGAACAAATCATGCTCCCGGAAAGCTTCCCGGGAACATGATTCTCTATGTCGGAGTAGGCCCGGGGGGGGGGGCGGGCCGCTGCCTGTTCCCCCCATCGGTGCCCACCAGGGGTTGTGGGGGGGGGTTCCAGAGCTCCCGAGGCGGCCCGAGCCCGCCCCGAAGCAGGCCATGACAGGCCAAGGGGGTTCCGAGAGGACCTAAGACGGTCCCACGAGGCCCCGAAGACGCCCAAGATGCCTTCAAGACAGCCGACGAGGACTCCAACACGCTCCAGGACGGACTCAAGAGGCTCCCCAAGAGGGCCCTGGGAGGCAAGATTCACTCGTTTTCCGAGTGTTTTGGATTTTGGCGTTCTCGCTTTTCCCGCTTTCCAGCGCTCCCTCACGGCCTCGGAGGCCTTTCAGAGCGCTAGGAGGGGAGCTCCCCAATTAGCCCCCCCCGAGGCCAAAATGGGGCCAAAACCTTAGTAAAACCAGTGATTTTTGGACGCTCCAACTACCCGCGGAACTCCCCGTCCAGGTCCAGGTGAGGGGGTAGGGGGAGGGGTCAAGACTCCCTCCCCGCCCGCAGACCGTGTCGTTCACTCCCACCCGCCCTCCCGACACATACGTAGCACCCGAGCCTGGCCCGAGCCGCAGCATATGCAACAGTCGTCTTTGGATGGCCAGCTACTGGGGGCCAATCCGCCGCCGCCGCCGCCGCCTCCCCCGCCGCCGCCGTCCGCCGCCGCCGCCGCCGCGCCACCGCCGCCGCCGCCGCTGTCCGCCGCCGCCGCCGCCACCGCGCTGCCCGCCACCGCCGCCGCCGCCGCCGCCGCCGCCCCCGCCGCCGCCCCGCTGCCGAATCGCCGCCGCCGCAGCCGCTGCCGCTGCAGCCGCTGCCGCCACCGCCGCCGCCGCCGCCGCCACCGCCGCCGCCACCGCCGCCGCCGCCGCCGCCGCCCCCGCCGCCGCCGCCACTGCCGCCGCCACCGCCGCAGCCGCCGCAGCCGTTGCTCCGCCGCAGCCGCCGCAGCCGCCGCCGCCAAGTGTACTCTGTAGTGTTTTTTGACAGGGATGGTGGGGGGAGGCCGCATCGGGTTCGCTGCGCATGCTCCGAATTTGGAGACACAGTGTGTTCTGTGGTGTTTTTGTTGCAAAGGATGGTGGGGGGGGCCCTCATTGGCTCGGGTTGACTCCCAGTCGCTTGGGGGAGGGGGTATATATTAATAGGGATTTGGGATGAACCCTTCCCCGAAGGGGAAAAGATGGGTTGGAAGAGGAAGCTCCCTCGACCACCTACGCCCTAAAAGGCTTGTGGGATTGGATGGGTCCGGCGAGGTGTCGCCACGTTGCCGCTTGCTGCCGCCCCGTGCGCTGGGTGGGTCCAGCGAGGTTTCGCCACATTGCCGCCCGTTGCCGCCTCGTTGCCGCGTCGTGCGCTGGGTGGGTCCGGCGAGGTTTCGCCACGTCCCGTTGCCGCTTCGTTGCCGCCTCTTGCGCTGGGTGGGTCCAGCGAGGTTTCGCCACATTGCCGCCCGTTGCCGCCTCGTTGCTGCGTCCTGCGCTGGGTAGGTCCCGTGAGGTTTCGCAACGTTGCCGCCCGTTGCCGCTTTGCTGTCGCCTCCAGATTGAACTACGTATATTACACCACCTAGCTTACACCACATAGTTTGCACCACATAGCTTTCACATCCACAGTGCAACGTCTTACTGTTTGGAGCCCACGCTGGCTAACATTTATGTGTTTTGCTTTGTTTCGGCGCCCGTTGAGTGATGCCATGCTCCCAGAATCGTTGGCCCATCGTGGCCCTCCATCGTGAACTGCGTAAGGCTGTTTAGGGGCTTCTGGGCTTGCTACCGCAAGGGTGTTGTTGTTACTAAGGCGACGTCTCGCCCCCAAGTCCCAAGCTCCCGCCTTCAACATTGGCCGCCCAGAAGAGAAGGGCGCCTCGGGGGTACATCCCCGAATTGTTTTTTTTCTCCCTTGCCCAGCCAGAAGCCACACACACACACTTTCAAGTCGGCGGCGCAAAGGGTCCTCAGGCGGGAGCAGCAGATGGATGTGCGAATCGCAATCAAAAGTTGACGACGGCACAGTGTGCAAACTGTTGCACACTGTCAAATACAGCCGCAGGTGGTGTGAAAGGAAGCCATACACACATAACACAACCCAGCCCAGCCCCGCCCAACCCAACACAACACAACACAACACACACAACAAACCACAACACAACACAACACAGCACAGCACAGCACAACACAACACAAAACAACAAATCACAACACAACACAACACAACACAACACAACACAACACGACACGACACGACACGACACGACACAACACAACACAACACAACACAACACAACACACACGCGCACACGCACACGCACACGCACACACAGAGTCGGGGATTGGGGGTCGCCACGCACCCCGGTGACCCAGTTGTTCTCCCAAGGCTGCCGCCTTCGCGATCCGCATGTCCTCTGTGCCTCCCGATGCCCCTCGGTCTCTCGGCGGACGCTGCAGTCCTGTGTCTGCTCCTGCTGCTGCTGCCTGCTGCCCCCAGGGTCGAAGGTGGCTCGCTGCTCCTTGGGTCAGTCCATGAGGTTCGAGCTTCGAGGTTCGATGAGGAGGAGGAGGAGGAGGAGGAGGAGGAGGAGGAGAAAGAGGAGGAGGAGGAGGAGGAGGAGGAGGAGGAGGAAGAGGAGGAGGGGGGAGGCACATTCACAGCTCTGGGACAAGCTCAGCTTTGGCTCCGGAAGGTGCTCGATGGCCCGCGCGTGCGTCCGTGGGCTATCCTCCAGCGCGCCCTCGCGCAACCAAGCTCTGCTGGGGACAGAAGGGGCGTCGTTCTCTCCCTGGCGTTTTTTTTGCAGGCGCTTGACTACAGGTCCCCCCCCGAGGGGGGGGGGGTGCGGCGGACGCTCGCGAGGTGCGCGCCGCGGCATGCGCCGCCGGGCGGCCCTGCTCTGGGGCGGCGCTGCGAGGGCGCGCAGACGTCCGCGCGCCGCGCGAGCTTGGGCGACAATGCGGCCAGGAGCTCTCGCTTGCAGCCGGACCGAGGTACAAGGTCGAGGTCGGTTCGGGAAGGGTGCCCTCATGTTCTTCGTGCTTGTTGGAGATTCTTGTGCACCCTGGGGAGGGTACCTTTGGATGGTGTGTGTGTGTGCTGGCCGTCGGAGGGCCTCATGCTCTTGGAGGATGTTCTTCTGACCTGGGTCCGACTGTAGCGGCTTAGCGCGTCGCGCCGCCGGTTTTGGCTCACCGCGCTTCGGCGCGACACGCTATCCACGTCCAGGTCCCCAGCGTCAGCGTCCCGAGCCTTTCCCAGCATGCCGCCCCGCGGAGCGCAGCGACACGCGATCCCCTCGCAGGGCACAGCAGGACACGGCGTGTCGCCGAAGGCCGCCGCCGCGACATTCTGTCCGAGGGCCCCTGGCCGCAGACCCCCCCCCTCGAGCCCCAGGTCCAGACCTGACCGCGCCCACGCTGGACGCCGAGTGCCTGTCGCACCCGCGCGGCGGGGCCACGCCGACGCTCGTCAGTCCGCACGAGGACCTCTCCCGAGCCCCCCTCCAGGGGGAGGCCTCGTCCGGGGAGGCGCGGCCAGCAGGGCGGAGGGAGCACCTTCCTCGGGCCCTCCACCGTCGTCGGGCCTCTTCAGGGCCTCTCCAACTGCCATAGACAACTATACGCAGACAGCCTCCACTGGATTGTTCCTGGGCCTCAAGGGAACGTAGCGGTGTAGAAGTCACCACTGGGAGCCAGCGACTTTACACACCGCCGCCCTTCATGAAGGTACATGCAAAGTTCGTCCGAGCGTGTCTGTGTACATTTCTTTCGTGGAGTACTCCAGGGTCCCAGGATCCGTCAGAGAACAACTGTGAGGATTCAGAGCTGGTCATAGGGAGGGACACGGGAGCCACGATCTGCTTGCTTTCACACTGCTGCTGCTGATGCTTCTGCTGCTGCTTCCCCTCTGACGTTCCTGCTACCTTCCCGCTCTTCCCTCCTCCTTCACTTCCTTTCCTTCTCCCTCCCCCCCCTCCTCCTCCTCCTGCTCCTCCTGCTCCACCTCCTCCTTCTCCTCCTCCTCCTCCTCCCCCTCCTGCTCCTCCTGCTCCTCCTGCTCCCCCTCCTCCTCCTCCTCCTCCTCCTCCTCCTCCTCCTCCTGCTTCCCCTCCGAGCCTCACCTCCTACTCCTCCTCCTCCTCCTCCTCTTCCTCCTCCTCCTTCTCCCCCTCCTCGCACTCCCCTCCTCGGGTCGCCTGCGGCCCCCGGGGAAAACCGTCCAGGTAGGGCCATGGGAGAGGGAGAGTACGAGAACTGCTGCATGCGGCTGGCTTCGTCCCCGCCGCTGGGCGCTGTCTTCGATGCACGGGCCAGGCTGGCGCCGGGAGGCTCCGGGAAAGCCAGCTGCGTGAGATGGCTCGCCCCCCCCTCCGTTCAGGATCCCGCCCCTTCGTCGGACCCAGCATTACCTTTCCCCGCTCCCCATTCATTTGTCGTCCTGCTGTTCGATGCGGCGCGTCTCCCTTGACGCCCGGGCGTCGCCCGGCTTCCACAGTCGCTTCCTGGCTCCGCCTGCCTCCCCCTCGCCCTCCTTTGCAAAAGGCGGCGGGCACCAGCATGGCAAGTGCAGTCTAGAGATCTTGGGCCGATGCTGCAAGCAGGGGATTTGCGAATGGGATGGTATGGGGGAGAAGGGTACGATTCAGGAGGGGAAGGGGCACAGACACAATCACCAGATCTACTGAGCCTCTACGCCCCCCAGTCTCTGGGCGGACCGCCGTCGCCGAATTGTTTTTAAGAAGTGCACCTGGTGTTCGGGGCCGCCGCCGCTGCCGCGAGTTTGCAGTGGGGTCTCTGGCCGAGCTCGCTTGCCGCCGAAATGCGAGAGGGGCATCGGTTGTTTGTATACTTAATTGCCTTCAGCCTACCCCGCCACCGCGCCTGGGTCGCGGGCCAGAGGCCTCTTCGCAGTTGCGCGTTTGCTCTTTTCGTTTGGGGGGTTCGGGCCCGGGGCGGGTCGAAGCAGAATTGTGGTGTTCAATTCGTCGCGGTTGCGCGGTTGTTCCCTCTGTGTGGGGGGTTCGGGCTTGAGGGGGGTTTTAAGCAGAACTCCTCTGTGTAATTTGTCGCGGTTGCGCGGTTGCTTATATTTGCGTAGAGAGTTCGGACCCAGATGGGTCAGCGACGGCGAAGCGGGATATTCCCGAAAAGATTCCGGAAACATGTTTGGTTGCGTTTCGGGTGCGCACTCGTGGGTTGAAGGTTTCATTTGGTTTTGGACGCGACTGCGGGCGTTTTCGGATCAGATAACGGAGGAACATATTGAATTAGATTGCGGCATCGGATTCAGGCTCGTACTTCGCGGCCCGACGGCATTCAAGTCATAAGCAGTTGTTACAATAATGCATGCGCGCAGAGTCCGTCGCCGCCGTCTTTACATTGTCACCTTGGCCTGTGCGCGCGGCCGCCGCCAGTTTTTTGTAACACGTACTTGGTGTCCAGGGCGTTGCCCGCCAGATTTTGGGACCCCCCCGCATCGTGCTTTGTGTTTTTTCGTCGCCGCCGTGGGAATCCTCGCAAATACTTGTCCTAGAGTCTCGACCGGGTGATCAGACACAGACAATCGCCGACGCACAGGAACATATGGAACATGTTGGAAGCGGAGTGGAAGACGACCCCCCAGGAGAGGTGGCACAGATTGGGGATCTGGGGATTTGTGGCTCTTGACTTGTGCGTCCCTGGGCCCCTTCAAGGGGGCAGAAGAGTACGATATGATATATATATATATATATATATATAGATCGCATCTTCGGCGAGCGCGTACCTGGCCTGCCCATCTCAAGTGCCCTTGCTACCTCTCTCTTCCCCCCACTCAGGAGGGGAAAAAACACACAGACACCAATAATCGTCGATTCCCTGGGAAATGATGGGCAAATCTGGGAAGTGGAGGGGCAGGCAAAGCTCAAGAGCATATCGGAAAATATGCGGAATCCCAGGATGTGTGCCCATTTATTCGTGTGTCCCTGGACCCCTCCCCCCATGACCCCGCGCGCAGAACATCGTCCTCGCCTTTGACGGCGACGTGCTGGCAGGTTCCGGCGCCCTCGAGCTCTGGGCAGCATCGCGGACGTCCAACGGCTCCGACTTCCTCGCGTTCAGGATCGACATCGAGCGGATTGCAAGGAGCGCGATGGGGAAGGAAATGGGCAATGATACGTTGGCACGTGCACTGTGCTGAATGTAGGGCGGTGGGGGGTCCCTTCGCTGTCTTGGGACGAATTTATAGCATGTGCGATGCTAAGTCGCTGGCGCGCTTGGACTAAGACGCCCGTTCGCCATGAAGTGGAAGCATCGCGATTGACGCACGTGGCCACGTGCCGACGGCGATCCCTGTTCGTCATTTGACCCGTTGAGGGGGCCCTCACCTCAAGGGCATGGGAACAAGTGCGCTGCACCTCTCAATTGGACTGCCCCGAGGTAGAGTGAGATGCACGCGCGCGTGCGCCATCCGGCCTTTGTGCTCCGTGCACCGGCCCGCCGTGGGGCCTTTGAGGGTGCACTCGCCTGGCGGGGAGGGGCCGCGTGGGCGCGTCAGCTTCCAAAAACGGCAGGGTGCCCACCCTGCCCTCGTCTTGGCATCGCTCGGACGTGCGCATGTTTTCTCTGGCGAGGACCCTCGAGGAGCATCCTCGATCACTTGGCGAAACAGCCACGCACGATTCCGAAACAAACAACACGAGGAATGGACGCCCGAGCGATGGCGAGGTTTCCAAACGGCAGGGTTCCCACCCTGCCCTCGGTGGTGCGGCAGGGCGGCAGCTCTCAGTGTCGTTCCTCCACTGGGCGCGGGCGTGCGGCGTGGTCGTGGCAGCCGTCGGTCTCCTTCCTCCACGCCTCGTGGGGCAGCCGATGGCGGCATGGGTGCCTTCTCCGCGCCGCCGTCGCGCCACCGGCGCGGCGGCGCGCGGAAGAACCCCCACGGCCTGGAACCTGGAGGAGGAGGAGGAGGAGGAGGAGGAGGAGGAGGAGGAGGAGGAGGAGGAGGAGGAGAGGAGGGAGGAAGGAGGATGATGAGGAGGAGGAGGAGGAGGAGGAGGAGGAGGAGGAGGAGGAGGAGGAGGGGGGGAGGGGAGGGGAGGGGGAGGGGGAGGGGGAGCAGGAGGAGGAGGGGAGGAGGAGGAGGAGGAGGAGGAGGAGGAGGAAGAAGAAGAAGAAGAAGAAGAAGAGGACGACGAGGATGGCGAGAACGAGGAGACGGTTGGGTATCACTATCTGTTGGCGGCCAGCCTGGGGGGGCAGTGAGAAGGAGCTGGCCTTCTCAGAAGGCTCGGAAGCCCCCTGGCCTTCTGAGAAGTGTTATACGCCTTTCCCAAAGACGCGGAAAACTTTTCAGAAGGCTGGAGGGCCTCTGAGAAGCCCGCCGCCTTCTGAGAAGGCTTTCTCCTTCTCAATACGCCCTCCCTCGTTCGCCGCCGAATTGGGCTTCTGGGTCACAACTCGGGTCTCCGGCGGCCGTTCGGGACGATTCTGGCACCCCTGAATGCCCTCGGCGATGCGCAGCTTCTGGCAAGCATACCCAGGCTGGAAAACCGCCGAGAACCGACGAAAACGACCGAAAACCTCAAGCCTCGAACCTCGAATCCTCAAACGCAACGCCGCCGCGGAGGGGCAAAAAGGGCGGCTGCGAGCTTTGTCGACGACGGCCACGGCCTCATCTCCGGCCGCTTCGTGTACATGACTCCGGCGAGCCTGTGCGGCGGGCGGCCCCAGCAGCCGCGGGGGGAGCGGCGCGGCCTCGTGCTCCTCCCTCGTCGCTTCGGAGGAGGAGTATCGGGGAGGATCGGGGATGAGGAGGAGGAGGAGGAGGAGAAGGAGCTGGAGGAGGAGGAGGAGGAGGAGGAGAACGAGGGGGAGGAAAAGGAGGAGGAGGAGGAGGAAGAGGAGGAGGAGGAGGAGGTGGAGAGGAGGAGGAGGGGGAGGGAGGAGGAGGAGGAGGAGGAGGAGGAGGAGGAGGAGGAGGAGGAGGAGGAGGAGGAGGAGGAGGAGGAGGAGGAGGGGGAGGAGGAGGAGGAGGAGAGGAGGAGGAGGAGGAGGAGGAGGAGGAGGAGGAGGAGGAGGAGGAGGATGAGGAGAGACGGAGGAGGAGGAGGAGGAGGAGGAGGAGCAGGAGGAGGAGGAGAAGATGGAGGATGAGGAGGAGGAGCAGAAGGAGGGTCAGGATCAGGAAGAGGGGCAAGCGGAGGATTGCGGAGGAGTATCAGGAGTATCAGGATAAGGAGGAGGAGGAGGAGGAGAAGGAGGAGGAGGAGGAGGAGGAGCAGGAGGAGGAGTAGAACGAGGGAGAGGAAGAGGAGGAGGAGGAAGAGGAGCAGGAGGAGGAGGAGGAGGAGGAGGAGGCGGAGGAAGAAGAGGAGGAGGAGGAGGAGGAGGTGGAGAGGAGGAGGAGGGGAAGGGAGGAGGAGGAGGGGGAGGAGGAGGAGGAGGAGAATGAGGAGAAGTCGGAGAAGGAGGAGAAGATGGAGGAGGATGAGGAGGAGGAGGAGGAGCAGAAGGAGGGTCAGGATCAGGAAGAGAGGCAAGCGGAGGATTGCGGAGGAGTATCAGGAGTAGCAGGATGAGGAGGAGGAGGAGGAGGAGAAGGAGGAGGAGGATGAGGGGGAGGAGGGGGAAGAGGAGGAGGAGGAGGAGGAGGAGGAGGAGGCCACGCATCAACCTGATTGCTGCGTATTGGCGATCGGGAATCGTGCCAGAGCGCCGTTTTTGGGACTTCAACACTGAATCCTTTCAAAACGCCATGTCTGGTACGTTGGCCATGGGATTCCATGAAACTCTTGCACATTTGTAAAGCGAGTCGGCGCGGCGCTAAGGCGAGAGCCACATTTTGGAAAGGAACCGTGCTCAAACCGTGAAGCTCTTGCAAGGAATGTGCGAGGCGACAAGGCGAGAGCCACATTTTGAAAAAGAACCGCTCTTGATCCTTGAAGCCCTTGCAACTTTTCAGAGCCAATGTGCGCGGCGTTATGGCGAGAGCCGCCTTTTGAAAACGACCCGCCCTCCATCTGTGAGACCGTGGCTACTTTTTGAACTTCAAAGTCACAAGTGGTGAGGAAGTCTGAGGCGAAACACCCGGCCCGCCCTAAAAGCTGGCCTCGGGTTCCGACAGAGAGAATTTATGTATAAGGAAAAGGAATGGAGGATGAGGAGGAGGAGGTGGAGGAGGAGGAGGAGGGGGAGGAGGAGGAGAAGGATGAGAGGTTGGAGGGGGAGGAGGAGGAGGAGGAGGAGGAGGAGGAGGAGGAGGGGCATGTGGACGGGGGAGGAGGACGAGGAGGAGGAGGAGCAGGAGGAGGAGGAGGAGGAGGAGGAGGAGGAGGAGGAGGACCGAGGTTTCTTGAGGCACCTCTGGCCCTCGTCGGGGGCCCGCCATGGAGGCCTCGGGAGGCGCCGGCAGAGGCGTCAGCGCCCAGGGCCTCCGGCGACCCCTCGGGTGACTTCGGGCGCCGCCCAGGCAGCAGTTTGGCGCGGCCTCCTGCGCGTGCGGCCCCGGACACCTCGCGCGGGGCGTGGCAGCGCTGGCCTCGCGGCCGAGGGGCCGCGCGCTTGGCAGCTCCCCCTTCCTCGGCAGGCTCGCGCGGAAGCAGGGGCGGCTCCGCCAGCGGGGGGGGCCCTCGGGGGTACAAAGAACGCACCCCTAAAAGATGTGTGGTTGTTGTTGTTGTTGTTGTTGTTGTTGTTGTTGTTGTTGTTGTTGTTGTTGTTGGTGTTGGTGTTGGTGTTGGTGTTGGTGCTGATGTT